CATATAAAATTATATACGACACATGTTTATACATATAGTTCAGGATACATATATATATATATTCTACTCGAGATCTAAAACCTAATAAAGAACACTGGAGAATTTCAAAAAATACTAACAAAAAACAAATATTAAGCTGCTTTCAGTCTTATTGATGAACACTAAATATTAGGAAAAAAATGAGAAGTCAGAGCTCTGAAAAAAATAAAGCTGTGATAAAATGTCTTTATTTAACTAAATTTTCCTTATATAAAATGCTAATGAAATATCTTCAAATCTTCAAACAGATAAAAATATGCCACAGTTACCTTTATAAATAAATTATATAAGTAAAATAACAAATAAAAACAGATACTCAATAAAGTGGAAAATGTGGATAGAAATCCTAATAGATAAGAAAAATGGTTAAGAGAGAGTGTTGAATAAAGGCTTAAAATTTATAAGCAAACTTTCTGACTATTTTCTTAAAGAGATATCCAAAATATATTAAGCAAAATAAGCAAACATAGATGCAATATTTACACTCCAGAGTATGTGGTTATGAACCCCATAGTTCATAAATAAAACTATGAATTAATATGCCTGGTAGTAGAATGGATTAAAGGGCTCAATATTTATAGAGTAGACATCATTTAATTTTAGAGTGCAATATTGATTTTAGAATGTGATAGTAAAAGTTTAAACAAAAATGAAACAGATTGTAGTAGCCTTAATGTATAATTTCTCCCAAATTTTACAGTAAAACTGTCTACTCCAACACCAATAGTAGGAAAAAATAGTGAAGACCAAATAATAAGAAAGGAGGTAAATATGGGATCAATGGGAAGATAAAAACGATGGTATTGAAAAAATTCCATTGTTGAACTGTTATAAGATGTGATATTTATACACAATGGAATTTTATTCAGCAATAAAGAAGAATGAAATTTTGTCCTTTGTAAGTAAATGGATGGAACTGGAGAACATCATCTTAAGTGAAATAAAGCCAAAGGGCTCATGTTTTCTCTCACATGTAGAATATAGACCTAATACAAACACAAGCAATATTATGAAAAACATGTCACACGAAGGGTGGTCACATATGAGAGAGGGGAGGGAAAAAGAAGGAAGTTAAGAAGGTGAATATGGTTGATGTACTCTCTATACAAGAATGAGCATAGTTTTTAAACCTATTGAAATCACCACAAGAAAGGGACTAAAGCGGAAAGAAAAAAAGAGGGGATGAGCCAGTTTGGATTATAATGCAGATATACATAGAAATGTCACAAGGAAACCATTGTATAACTCTCTTAAGCAAATAAAAATCTCATTTATTTTTACAAAAAAAGGAGAATAGGAGAGAAAAACAGGTCCTGTCTGGAGTTCTGGTACCAGTGGGGGAGGGTGTAGGAGGGTGAATATGGTGCAAATTGTGTGTACATATGTATGTAAATAGAAAAATGAGACCTGTTGAAACTATTCCAAGAATGGGTGAGGGGAGATAAAGGAGAATGATGGAGGGGGTGACTTCAACTATGATATATTGTAAGAACTTTTGCAAATGTCACAATGTTACCCCAGAACAACAATAATAAAAATAAAGTTAAAAAAGAAAACCCATAAAATGAAAGAAAATGTTTAAATTAAAAATGTAGACAGTGATTATTCAACAAATATAAATTCACAATAATTGAAGCAAGTTTAGCATGATATGATAGATTTAGAAGTTTAGGTAAAAATTATTTTGAATATAAACAGTCATTTTATATCAATAAAAACACTATCTAGAAAGAGTCATAATTTTGTAAGGGTTCTTTGTACTTTGGGAGCACTTTTATTTTTATATTTAATTTAATCTTTAGAATTAGAGTTACCTTATAATTTATTATGCAAACCATGACATTTTATTTGTACAAGACAGAACTACCAGTATTTATACTAGAAAGACAGTTGTAAACCTGAAGTGGTTGGGAAAAACCACAAACATCACCCCACACAAAATAATTCTTTAAAGTCAACGATACCTAGATATCTTCATCACAGGGGTTCTAGCCTTAGCATCTTAAAAAGAGAAAAGCAAACAAACAAAAAATAACTTAATCAAGTCATATAGTAAAATAGTAGATGTGAATATAGAAAACAAGAAAATTTTCTTGATGTAATCCATGCATGATTCTTATCTTTAAAACCAAACAAAAACACTGGTGACTTTTCTTCAGTTTGAATCATACTGTCTATAATCTAGGAATTCTAGAATCTAGTAATATACGACATTTTATTTGATTTTAACATTTTAAAGACACCGAAATTCCTGGATCTTCAAAATTTTATGCATGAAACCTGAGATTTACAAAGGGTGATAGCTAACATGTGATTGTAAGAAATTATGGATTCATATAGTACTAGAAACGCAACTGACAGAGAATGAAACTAGATCTGATAATAAAACTATGTTTAGATGATTAATGATCTAATTTATTTAGGGAGCTAAATTATTTGTTATGAAAGTAATCATGCAGTATAGCCTAAAGTGAAAAAGGAAATACTTTTTACTAGTGGCTTTGTTAGAAATTTGCAAACTTACTGATTATGGCTAAGTATGTCATTAGATTTAGATAGACAATAGTGATCTCATGATATTTGCCAATGCTTTGGTTAGTAGAATTACAATCTAAAAACCCTGCTACTTAGTTAATAGCAAAAAAAAAAGAAAAAGAAAATCTAAGGGAAGAAATGAATGATAGGTGTTAATTGTAGAACAGGAATAGAAAAGTAGCATTCAAACAAAATACCATCTACAAATGTGTTTTGTTTAGCCAACAGAGTGCTTTTTTGATTTTGAATTTGAAACACTTCACCAGGTCAGCAAGCAATCTGAGTTGACACTCCTCCGTCCATCCTCACCCAAGTCCCCAGCAGGGCCTCTACCAGCCCAGATGATGAAGTATTTTTTGGAAAAAAAAAATACAGTTAGATAGGTGGAATAAGTTTTAGTGTTCTTATGGCTGCCTACAGTTTGCAACCATTTATTGTGTAATTTATTTAAAAATTAGAAGATGGGAGTTTGAAGGTGCCCAACACAAAAAAGTGTTTGAAAAGATGGAAATGCTAATTATTCTTTTCTATCTTTCATGTTGTATGCATGTATCTGGTTATCATACTCTACCCCATGAACATATGCAATTATTATGAGTCATTTTTTAAAAGCATCTTTTCTGGCAGCATGTGGCTTCAAGGCATGCAGGTATGTAATCATAGCATGGTTGGGACTGAGACCCCCTCTTGCCACTCTGCCTTTTTTGAGATTTAAAAACTGTGCACTCTCGCAAAGACGTTGTAGTACTCACTCATGTACTGCCTTCTTGAACATTGATGTTAGCTGCCTGACACATGGGACTTTTCATGACTGGCTCTGCAATAGAATGATTAGAATTAGATGGCATTTATGACTTCTTCGTAGCCATGGTCTAAGGTAAAGAAGTTTAATTGGTCAGTAGGTAGTTTAGTTTGAAAAGGAAAGAGAATCAAAAAGTTTGTTACTTCTTTCTTCCACTGCAGTATATGACCTTTTCCTTTATTGACACAAATATCAGAAATAGTCCTTAATGACACAAGAAAAAGTAACATGAGAAATTTTAACACGACCCTAAAAAAGACATTAATATTGAATCCCTTTTATAGGGAAATCCATTCTTGAAAAAATATACTAGAGTTTGTGTTTACATATGATTATTAGAATGACATAGCTACCTTTTGCAATTAACAATAATTATGATATTTATATCTTTATACTTCTTTAAAGAGAAATAGATGTCTCAATAGTTTACTAATAAAATAATATAGATGGGAAAGGAAGCCCAAAGAGCCGATGCTATGTAATAGAATGAAATAAAAGGATATTAATATTTATATTTATATACTTATATTAATTAGACCTTTGATAGCATCTTCAGGTTGACCAGAACAGGTTTACCTGAAGTAGACCTGCTAAATCAGTGTCACTTTAAAAATAATTTAATTTATAAACAAAGGTTTATCTTAAATAAATTAATAGTTTCCTTTCCTTTTAATAAAAAAATTGGCTAGGTTAGTATGAAAGTCAAATTCCATTATTTATGACTCCAAGGTTTGAGAGGTGAGCAAAAAGAATTACTGATTTCCTGTTTTCTTTTGCCTTTGTTGTCCTTAAGTTATGACAATAGTTATAGGACAGTGTAATAGTGAAGCTGCCAATAAACTGTCCAACCATGTATACTGTGACAGCCTGTGCTTATCCAATTCTGGCTTCCCATCCACTGTGGATGGGCACCATCTCATCCACTGTGTTCAGTTGGTATAAAATGGTTGAACACAAAGAGCACATGGCCTAATTATCAGAAACTGTTACTTCAATTAAAATCCCTATTAGAGTACAGGAGGAAGTATTGGAACAGGTTATCTAGACGAGATTGTACTGTAATCTTTCCTGAAAATATTTTAAAAGACACAGAGGTGTGTTTTTAAAGGCTCCAAAAATAATTCTGAGTATGGCCTTACTGGAGGTGATGCAAAATATGTGTCAATCCCTCCCTAAAGATTGTCTTTACTTAATAATATGTCCTGTACTCCCAAGGTATGCTCTGTCTTTTAGCATCATCTGTATAATACGGCATGCTTTCTTTATAAGGAGGGGATGAGATGATCCATTACACTAAAAGATGTCCCCTATTCATGAGTTTCTAGCCACTGTCAAAGTGTCATCAACTGAGGTTTCTCTTGGTGAATAAAAGTTTGAATGGAAAATTAAGCTCCCATACTGACTGTCGCTGTACAGTGGATAATTTTGTTCTTTAATGTCACACTTCACTGGACACACTTCACAGAGCAGTGAATCATTCTTAAAATAAGCAGCCTTTACTTTAACGACAGCAGAAAATGCAGCAGAGGTGAATAATGAGTGTTAGTAGTCTTAACTTTCTCTTGCAGTGCTCTCTCTCAGGTGCCTGATGGACAATTTACAAAGTACATATGCTATTTTATAGATTGGAACTTGGGATCCAGTCAGTGGCCTGAATATGACAGAAAGTCAAAAGGGAAAACCAGCTAACATCACAGATTCCTTATCTAATCGTTCTTTGATTGTTACCACTATTTTGGTAAGTATTTGTTTTTCCATCATTTTTGGATAAGTGTAGATAGACACAGAAGTAGATAGAAAAGGACATTATATTGGGAACAGCAATGAACAGAATGCCATGAATTTTATAGTTATTTAGCTATTACTATGTAACAGACAAGTCAATGTTAATTTAGTCACTGTTTTGTTTTGTTAATCTCAAAAATTTAAATTATGTTAATGTTTGGGATGTTTATATTAATTAATGATACAACTATATGTATTACTAGAAATCTTTACATTTTTGCAAAGTTAGTTCCTGTTGAAGAATTGCCTATGTCAAGATTTGAAAACTACATAGACATGCAGATGTATAAATTTGGTTAAATTGAAAGCCAGACATGAACTTATTTCAGGCGGTATAGAGTTCATTTTTCAGTACTTTTTCCATGATAATTTTATTTGATCCTTGATTTCAGTTCATTGTTTTCAGCTTAGAGAGTCAGTTTTATTCTTCTAATCACCCTTATGAAGTCAAATAGCAAGTGCTTTTTGAAGCCAGAAATATTTTACCATCAACAGAAATAAATTAATACTTAAAAGCAAGATATTTTTACCCCGTAATTATATATTTTAATTAGATTGCATGGCAGTGGTCACCTATGCCATTTGTAAAAGGGAATTTTAATTTTAGAATAAGCAAGGAGCTATTATGTTTTTTAGTCAGTACTTTCTACTGCAAAATAAGCCTATCTATGTCTACTCTTACACCTCCCCAACAGACCAGAGCAAATGGATAGAACTTATAGTTTCTAAATTTGATTGTCAGTGACAAATAAAGCCAGAAGGAATTAATATTTTTGTCCATTTAGTAACAAAAGATTTTTTAAACTGTAGGCATGTCAAAGCAACATAGGTCGGGTTAAAGGCTTTTGATAATGAAGCAAACCTGGCAGTCGTGAAAGGACAATGATGGAAGTCACAAGGTTTTTAAACGCTCCTTTGCTAAGGACCTTGTTTCTTCCATATCATCTCCAAACTTCCAAGGCCCCTCCAACTTAATTTTAGATCTCCCTTTCTTTTCAAAGCTAACTCACAAACCCACCAACACAGCCTTATTCTTCAATCTAAATGTCCTTGCAAGACAACTGCACATTTTTCTCTTCTATCAGTCAGTATTGCTTTATCTTATTACCTCCTGGTAGAACTATTGCCATAACCATGGAACCGTCTCTTCTTTCTGTCCTTATTCCTTTCAATGAATCCTAGTTCTCACTGAAAAACTTTAATTAACTCTGCTGTAATCTGTCCTTACTTGCTTTACAAATATTTAGAGTCCGTATTGACCATTAAAAGGCCCCCACACTTCAACCTTGATGATCAAGGTGTTATACAGCCTTAACTTTCCCCACCTTTCATTTGTGTTTCCCTTTCAAGACATCGATATTTTCATTGAGCTCAGATAACCAGGTAGTCTGCTACTGTGATTGTGTAAGCCCTCACCTTTTTCTCTGTGATATGCTCTTCTCAACTTTTATGATATTATAAATCTTGTCAGTGCTTTGTATGATTGATTCAGAATTAATATTATGTTATTCTCTAATTATTTCCTGTGTGCCATGTTTTCCCAAATATCACTGAGCATTTCTGGGGGGATCAGAATTTGACTGTCTTCTACTTTGACACCACACGTGGCCCACAATGCTGCAGAGTAAAGGAAGCTGTGAGAAGACATGGGCAACCCTCAGACCTTTCTATGTTCTCTTTGCCCAAAAAAATTCCCCAATGTGTCACTTAATTTATACTCCAAGTCTTTGCTCAATTCTGTTTTACGTTGCTTTGTACAAATGCAATCCGGAATCATCACAAGTGCTCCACTCCATGACTCTTTGATCTCTCCATTTAGATGAGAATGTATTGGGGGCAGGAAGTCTTGCACTTCACAAGTCACAATATTGCATCATGGCATTTATCATGGTTTTTATGTATCTATTTATTTATTTATTTTGGTAAGCCAGGGGTTGAACACAGAGACTTGCACTTGCTAGACAGGTGTTCTACCAGTTGAATCGCACACTCAGCCATTTTTGCTTCAGTTATTTTTAATGTAAGGTCTGGCGTGTTTTCCTGGGGTGTCTTGAACTGTGACTCTGCTACTTATAACACATAGCTGGGATTACAACTCTGTACCACCATATCTAGCTTTTTTTATTGAGATGGGGTTTCACTTACTTATCTCCTGGGCTAGTCTTGAACCACATTCCTCCTGATATCCACCTCATGAGTAGCTGATATTACAGGCATAAGGCACCATACCCAATCCACATTTGCTTTTTATTTCAGAAAATTTTTACATATTTTAGTCTGTACTTAACTTGAAGCAAGGTCAATAATCAAATTTTATACTTTTTCAATTTTTCAAGATCAAGAAAAGTGACTTTGGCATGGCAAGCACTCAGTAAATGTTAGGCAAATTAAATTGAATAAATGGTATTTAGTTAAATGAGGAATTAAAGGAAATAATCAACCTTTAAGTGACTATGCTTAAATATTTTTCAAGTGTACAGTTTATTATAGTTGTCTAATGCAAACAAGCAAGTGATTAATATTACCTTCATAGTTTCTCAATTTTGCTGTCAGTGTTATTTTATAAGAAATATTCAATATTTTCTCATTCAGAGTAAGCAAGTAGCATTTTTAGATTTATACCACAACCAGATATGTAGCTGTAAGAAAATTACTGCTACACAGACATACTATAAACCATTTGAAACCATATTTCTCAGCTTTGGACATTGTCATTTGGTAAAGTTCCATAGGTAATGCTGATTTACAACTATGCTTGAGAATTAGTTTAGATCAGTATTCCTTAAAACTGATTTTAAGATCAAGTGTCAAACATGCTATATGCCTAGATTTTATAAATATTTTAGAGTATGCCTCTCTACTAGCTTTTAAAAAAATTCTGTTATTTCCTAAAAGGAAAAGTAAGTCACTTTATTTTTATATCCTTTACTTAAAAGTTACTTTTCTGAATTCTGTGGTTATCAAGTATCCACAATCAAGAAACAAAAAATTTGAAGGACTGTTTTCCTTATTTATTTAAATCATAAGCTTGGTGTAATTACTGGTATTTTATTCATACTTCATGGAGATATGATCATTTGATTAATGAAAAAGATTTTTTCCTTTTCTCTTTTAGAAAATCTCAGAGGAAATTCTGGCTATGTTGGTTCTGTCTCCCAAAGTCACTATCACGTAAAGGAGAAACAAAGAGCAGTTTGCTTATGGTCCTCATTCAATATTTTTTATAATATGCCTTAAAAAGCAGTAAAGTGCTCTGGAATTCAGTATTATCTAGCTAACTGTAACCAGATCTACCTATTTCTCATGAACTTTACTCATTCCTTTAATTTTATTCATCCATTATTTCAGTTAACAAATATATATTAAATGATGAAGCTATATTTGATGAAAATAGACATAGTAATTACCCTTATAGAACTTAGAAAATTACAAGGATTCATATGAAATATTACACAACACATAAAGCTTGTAATTATGATATAGGAGAAAAGTAAATGGTATTGTGTCTTATTTTACAGAGTGAAAGTGAGTTACCTTGGATGTCAAGAGTGGAAAGACAAGCAACATGGCTCCCAACAAAACAGGCAGCTGAGATTCAAAGTTTGAGAATGAATTAGCAAGAGGAAAGAAGGGAAAAGAGTATGATAGGCAGAGAAAAGTAGCATATGCAAGGGCCCTAAACAGGAAAGAACTCAGAAAATTTGCAAAACTGAAAGAAAACCATGGCAACGGGCTAGTGCATTGGTCTACTTCTCAGCTTCATTCAGGATGAATGTGTGAATATGATTAACTATAGACAATAATAGCAGATATTTACTGTGTCTGTGTGCCTACTGTGTGCCAGAGATAGTTCAAAAGCATTACCCACACATTTATTTAATTTTTCATAATTATCTTTTGAGGTAGAATCTGCTATTGATATCATTTTAGAGGCAAGGAAGCTTAAATCTAGTTCTCCTAAGTAATTTGCTCATGGTCCCACAACTGGAGAGAAGTAGGTTTCCTGAAATCCACTCATCCAACTTGAGCTATAGTACAAACTTTACCATGTGTATTCTACACTATAAAATAATGTTTTTAGTGCTGCACTATAGAAAAGTCTGACAACTACAGCTTATGAAGAAAATAGCACTTTGATTGAGAATTGTTCCCAAAAGCAATACTTGTCATCAAAAAGTGATGCATATGCTAGAGCACTGTGATATCCCTGTGGGTGTGTCCCTAAATACCTAGACATTCCTTCACAGAGGCCTGTACAGAGGCCACTCTTGCTTGGATGTATTGGGAATCTAGTTTCTGTGCTTTCCTAACTCAGAATTCAGTTTTCTTTCAGCCTCTTTAAATCATAATCTCAGATTCTCTTGGGAAAAATAAATAGTATTGGAGCTTATCCTTTTTTTTCTCTTTAGAATTGGGATTGAGAACTAGGCTTATTTACAGTGTTTCTACTTCTCAACAACATCACATATACTCAGCACACTGTATGGGCATAGCACATAGTTACTTTATGGAGAGAATTCATTTTAGAAAGCACTAAATATGTTTTTTAGTGTTCAGTTTTTTTAAAGATTATTTGGAGTAAGCTTTAAGAAATCACAAGTATGGAAATATATCAATCTTCTACACTTTTACACCTAAAACTCACATCTTCACGTGGTCTCTCTTTCGTGCTGCTTTCCCCTGTTGCTTCTCTGCTCCTTGACTTTCAAATTCAATTCTTAAAAGTCCCCAGTTTTTTCATTTTCATTCTTCATGGAACTAGCATGAAGAAACATGTTAGTTTAGAATCATGGTTCTAAACTAACTCTGTTTGTTGCATGAAATCTGTTAAAATATAATTTCATAGTTTAAAAAATACCTAACAAAAATGCTAAACCCAAGCAAGCTACAGTGAGCTTTGCATGCTAAAGTTTCAACGTATAACCTCATCCTGCTGTCGTTATTGCTATAGAT